AGACGAACACAATACAGAAGCCTGATGATGGCAGATGAGATTCTGTTTTGAAACTGAAACGGCTGTGAAAGTCTGACTCACAGACGAACACAATACAGAAGCCTGATGATGGCAGATGAGATTCTGCCGAAACGTTGCTACAACTTTAAAAGCACAACTATAATGACGTGGGAAAATACCCGAACAAAGCTGAATACCATACATACATATACACGTATACACACACACATATATGTATATGTATGTATATATGTATGTATGTGTATGTATATGTATGTGTGTATGTGTGTGTATATATATACACACACACACACACACACACATACATACATACACATATACATACACTGCAGACTAATAACATTTAATAATGTTATTCATATGAAATGGTGTTAACATTTATTGATATATTTAAAAAAAAACTTACGCTATTGAAAGCCAGTTTGATATTTCCAGCATCTAATGTAGTAGCTCTTTTAGTTGAACTGATGACCGTTACAAAGTCTTCAAAAGGAGTACTCACTTCAACTACAAATCCTTTATCCTGAAATATAATGGTTTTGATAATACTGGAAAATATAGCAATCCCACAGAAACAAATATTTGTAATGCAATACTACTATTTTTAAAACTAGATCTAGATTTTGAAATAAATGTAATAAATTTGAATTAGCAACTCTGCTTTCCCCCCAATTTAAGAATGTACATTACTTCACCTTTAAGATATCTTTGATTATCTTCTTTTCATCATGGTAGCGGGCTTTTAAATCTTCAACATAAAACTTGAAAAGATCCAGTGCTGTTGAACCTAAGGGAGGAGGGGGGGGGTATTTTTATATGGGTCAAGAGTTCTCTTTACTCTATTTGTTTATTTACTCTATTTGTTTATTTACTTTATTATTTACTCTAATATCTATTTCTTAGCAATGTACTGTAAGAAATAACAAAAAAATTCATACACATTATTAAAACATTACTTAGCCCAAGCAAGAGAGGGTACACTTACCAGGCTGACCAAGCATATTAGTAAACCTAATATCAGAACTAATAGTTGGATATAACTCCATCCAGGATGACATTGAGTGCAGCTGACCATGTTCATGCAATTCATCCAAAAATATCTGGGGAAAAAGTAGAAAATGAGGAATCTTGTAATTACATTTTAAAAAGCCAGACACTGTCCTGTTTTACAATCCCAAAGAAGCATAAAGAACTTCTAATGTGAAAGACAAATCAGTCAGCTCTTCCAATGTACTAAAATCTCTCTTGCTCAGCAACCCTCCTCCAGCTTTTAATCTTGGAAGAAATTTTCTACAGTCAAAGAAGGGAAATCATTGAAATGTTCACAATGCTTAGAAATCACACAAGACTTGGGGAGATTAGCTTCTGCATTCAGAATCAGAACAGTTGCTATTTTCTTTTTTTACCTAGCCGATACTCAAAATAGCTGAAAGCTCTTCAGATGGTATTAAATAGAAGTTAAGATTTTCTCAGTAACCTGAAAAGATTCTCTGTTTTTTCGCTGTCGTCGCCTTTCTCTGAGTAAGCCTTTCTGTTTCTCCTCTTCTTCCTCTTTTTCCAGTGCTCTTATGTGTTCTTCAAAACAGATCAAGGCATCCTCCTTATCCATATCTACAAAAACAGGAATACATTTTTATAAATTTAAATAATATGCCTCTTAAAATATAAATCCTTTTGGTTTGTGATCTTCCCCAAGTTTCAAACACAAGACTTTTTCTTCTTGTTCATCACTGTAAATATTAAACTAGTTAATGTTATGTCACACTAAATAGGGTGCGGAAACACTGCAATATAGAGCTACACAAAAGTCTCTGACCCTGAAATTGATAATTCCAAGTATCCCCAAAGTGGCCTAATTTCATAATGGCCCTTGCTCAACATTGAGCACAACTGATATAATATACAATAGAGTCTTTTAAGTTTTGATTCATGGACTTGCAACAGCTGATGAATATAGAAGGATCTGTATCAAAATGTGGCATAATTCATTTTTATTGTTTCTATGTATTTAAAATAAACTAATTTGTCCGGAACAACTATCTTAAAAGAAAATGTCTTAGGCAAATAAACAAACAAACAAACAAAAGGCCACTTCTTTACAAATGGATTTCAGAATATAATAATTTTAGCAAAAAACCCACATCAGAAGCCATTTTAGCTGGAAAGCACAATTAAGAGGTATACAAAATAAAAATAGCTTTCAGCCTTAAACTTGAAGACTGGGTTTCTTAACCAACTGGCTTCAGGATTAAAAGTGAGATTCCTAAATTATAAACTAGCAATTTATTCTATAACCTCATCTCTAATTTAAAGCCTATGTTCCCAACCTAGGGGTCTTTTTTTAGGACGGTAATGAAAAAAAATGGTTTTATACCATTATGAAAGCAAAAATTATGTGACACAGAGGTTCTAAAAACTAAATGACAATATACTGAAAATGCCTACCTAACTGTCTTATTCATATGTACTGGCAAGGTTTCTTCATGATTCCTCTTGGAAACTCGACATATGCACTATTCATTTCTATACTTGCCCTATGCTAATTATAATTCAGAGCAAAATAATTTCTTAGTACAAATAAATGTGTTTATTCATATCTTAAGTTTAAAATTATATCTCTATATGTGGATTCCAATTATATATCTTCACCATCTGAAAGAGGCAGATTTGCAGGGTAGGGAAACATGTTCCCAGTATTTTATCCTATACAAATCTTACCACACTGTCCAAATCCATGGTAGATAAATCCCAGCTCCTTGGAGAGGATTTTGAGAGTGTGGTTATATAGAATGGTAAACTTATTCTGGAATGGCAGAAGCCTTCAATTATTATTTTGATTTAACAGTTTTAATAGATGAGTTGCTATTATCAATTACACTCAAAAGTTTATTTTTTTTTACAGAAAGGTAAAACACAATTATCCTTACTCTGAAGTTCTTCATCTTCTGCAAATGTAGGATTGTCCATCAGATACTGCTGAGCCTCTGACCATGTGGTAGAGTAGGTGACATTAGCCATATTGTCCAGAATGTTTTTTAATGCCTCCCAGTTCCTCTTCCTTAGCTGTTTGGCTTGTTCCTGAAAAAAAGACAGACATATAAAATATAGTGATGTTTTCCTAAAATGCAGCATTGACCATAGTTGATATGACAGACATGCACAAATATTGAACAACTGTATCCTATTTCTGTGGTTTGGCCTGAACTTTCAATTCTATAAAAATCACACTTTGCAGGGAAAGGTGATAAGTGTTAATCTTAGCAAGAAACTACCAGACTTTCAAATTTGACTCCTTTCTAGAAAATTCCAACACTAGAACATCAAGTTTTCTCTTTATTCTTTTGTTAATTATTTAATAAACAAATTTTATCAGTCAACAATTA